AAAATTTTGTTTGCTTTTGCAAAAGCAAACAAAATTTTGGCAGGTTTCAAATTCCATGCGAACGAACCTTTAAGTTTCCATTTTTCAGATTGAGTTTTACAAATTGCAATCATTTTAAAAATATGTTTTACAGATCATTCTCTTCCCTTCAAGGCCAATCCAAACGTTCGCTCTTGACCAATAAGAAAGTTGCTGCTAACATCCCAACAGACCAAAAGAAATGCGTCTTTACTCCTCAATCCAGAGGAAAGAGCGTCCCTTGAAGTGAAGAGAATATGATCTGTAAACACAGCATTTGAAAAGATTGCAGTCCATAAGGCTCAGTCTGAAAAGTGTAAAAATGTGAAAATATAACATCCTTGATTTTATTTTTTTTTATAAAAAAAAAGCAAAGTTAATCATTTAAAAAAAAATGCTTTTACTGTTTTATTTCTGAATTAATTTTTTTTCCATTTACAAAACATATTCTTTGCAAAAATAATGGAACAAAATTCACTCCATATACGTCCTGAAATCAGGCCAAGGAGAAGGTGCTGAGGTGCGACCGTTGCCATGACACCCCTGAGGACGTACACCGTCGGATCTGGAGTGCTGGGGTTCTGGTTCTAGAGGAGGAACCTGACAGTTTATGGTTAGGACCGCGAGGGAGGCGAGCTCAGATCGTCTGGGCCGGTTCCATCCATCGCTGCATCCAGGTGCACTGATGCAGAATGGGCTCTGATAAACGAATAAAAACCCAGAACGTTGCTTCATCATGAACCAAACAACTGTGCTGATCTCAGGAAGAATCCATGTGTTCTGGTCTGAGGGTTCTGTTGTACCAAAGAGCCAACAGCAGCTCTGTGTTTAATGTTCTCTTCTTCTCAGTAACGTCTCCTTATCTTCCTGTTCTGTTTTCCTTCCTGAAGACTGAGGAAGCGTTTCAGCGACCTGGAGGAGCGGGAATAGTATGTTTCTGCTTCCTCGCTGTTTGGTTTGTCCGTTAACACCTTCTTCTTCTGCTGCTGCCGCCTTCATTAACAGGGTGCTGCTCTCTGATTGGCTCTTCCTTTCAGTGTGTTTGTCTCTTAAAAACCTGGAGCTGGAGACCATTTACTAGTGATTTTTGGCTCTTCTAACCCTCCGTCCTCCATGCCCCTGAGTGTGTTTCAGTAACAGATGTGTGTGACCCATGAAGCCTAACGCCACGCTCCTCTCTCTATGTTTAACTCAGCCGCAGACGTGACACAGATAACTATGAGCCGGTGAAAAGGTAACGCTGCTGTTTGTGGCTCAGTGTGTAGTGACCCTGTGACGTGGTAGTCAGTAGGTTAAAGCTCGCCGGGCCTCTGTCAGGACATTTTTAAAAGGAGACATTTTGAAGTTTTCCGCAAGGTTTTTGCTCCAAAATGGTAAAATCCCCAAGGTTTTGAATTCATGATCCCACTACCTGAGATACAGCAGCTGGTTAGCAATCAAAACTCTAGGAGGCGCTGTGAACGAACAGAAGCCGGAGCCATTTTGGCCAAGTTTGGGCCGACATCTACAGGATGGCCTCTGATCAGGACAGTCAGTGGGCGTGGTCTGTAATATGTGATAGTCCTAGAAATGAAAGCAAAAAAACTATTTTCCAAACAAAATTTCTCTGCATACATGTTTGTGTATGGAGAGCAAACTGTTCCAATATTATTGTAAGCACAGATTCTTTCAAAGATGGAAATTTTAAAAAGCCTTTAAAAAATGGATATTTGTTAAAGTTTTGAGTGTTATATGTATTTGTGTAGAAAATATATTTGATGAAATTGATCATAGGGCATCCCCAAAGGGGATGGGTCAAATGCAGAGAGGAATTTCTCCACTGTGAGATCATCCTGTTTTGATATAACAGAGTTGATTTAACTTTTTATGACTCTCAGCCAAAGATGCTGTAAGATGAATACACACAAGAGACGACGAGATAAAGCAGATGCCTAAAGGAGGCCAGCTTGCTGCTGGACTACTGAATAAATGGAAACAAAGCAGATCATGATTGGAGGCAAATACTACGGATAGGCCGAGTAAACCAACAACTGGGTTCATATACTTTATACTGGGTGTTTTTATGGGCAATGATGATTTAGCCCACAGAGAGAAATCCTGATGATAGCCAGAGCTGGTCCAGTTCTTTAAAATTACTGACATGATCCCCCCTTAGATCCCCGAGGATAACCAATTTGTTATTTTTACTAGAAACAGGATCGCTAATCTAATTTTTTACCTAAGGCTGTTTTTTTATTTCATTTAATTGTTTAGTTTTTTATGATTTGAGGACTAATAGAAATGCATTTTCTAACATCAACGCAAAGCAAACTTGATTCTATTGGTCCTTGCACAGACCAATAGAAAAGCTTTTTCCACCCAGAGGTGTAGAGGCGGAAATCTGTAAAACTCAATTTTAAAGGAATGCAATTTTTAAAACTAATCCATCAACTACAACCAGCTTGGTTTTAGTTGATGATGATTGGTTTCTGTGACCCACTTTGTCCGTCTTTGTCTTCCACCTCTTGTTAGTTATCATTGAGCCAAAGCCCCCTTGAGGAACCAGCTTCCAAACATAGAGGTCAAAGGTCAGCGTGTTTTCATGCAAACCTGCTAACTAACCCCTTCCTGTCTGCTTTTACAGCGTTGCCTCAGCGATGCACTCAGAGACACCTGATCGCTACGAACGCCTCACCTCGGTGTCGAGCTCCGTGGACTTTGACCAGAGGGACAATGTGAGGACGCCTTCATCCATATTCTTCTGTTCCATTTTTCAGAAACCTCTAAAATTTAGATGCATATTGAACGACTTATTGTTTTCAGGAAACGTCTAGAAACTCTTTTAGCTGTTAGTTTAGCTTAGCTTGAAAATTTGAGTCAAAGGAAAATTGCTCTCCTAGCTTAGCTAAAGATTAAAACGGGGCTAACGGTTAGCATAGTGTAGAGCCCAGTTTAGTTTAGTTTACCATAGGCTTTGGAAACAAACAAAACCAACCAGCTCAGCTTAAGATGGAAACGGGGCTAATTGTCAGTTTATTTTAGCATAGACATTGGAAACAAATGATTCTGCTAGCTTAGCTAAATATGAAAACAGGATGATGGATAATTTAGCTTAGCATAGTGATTGAAAACAGGCTAGTTTAGCATAAGATATGGATTATAAATGTTTAATTTATTTTATAATAAACAACAGAATAACAATGAGCAACAAAATCAGCAACTTACCCAAAATTAGCTTTAACAATATTTTCATATTCTTTAGTTTTTTTATTATTATTTTTCAGATTAATCAGGCTGTTTCTCAATTCACAAGAACGCGAGTATGGACTCGTGTCCTCGCCAAGTATGTTCCTGAGAAGAACACAGGAAAATATGGACTTGGAGAGAACGGGAGCACGTAGCATAAATATGGGTCAATTTGAACAGAAGCGTACTTGTGACATCACCACATGCTCTGCTCGTCTGGAGCTGCATTTCACCTCCTGTTAATAATAGTCTCCAGATAATAATAAATTCTTACTTTTTTTCTCATTTAGTGGGAGAATAATAATGAATACAGTCAGATAAACACAAATGAAATGAAAATTTTTTCCAAATAAAACAAAAAACTCGCCATCAGAGCCAGCGGTCCTTCACACACAGCTATGCAGAGAGAGGGCTGCTGCAGATGGGCTGCGGGTAACCCTGGCTGCCGTTAACCTCGGAGCCTCGCTGGTTGCTGCAGTCTTCTCAATTTCGGAAATTCTTTTTAAATTCTTCTTTAATTAAATCGGTAAATTACGGTGGCCCTGAAGTGCAAACTGCAACTACAAATCTAAAAGCGCAACTACATTAAGGAAATCGCAACTACATAA